TAGAGGGGTTTGTTGATGCCTATTTTACATGGATAATTTCTTCCCAGCAATTTCCCATCCATTATACCCTTTTGTGCTTCTCACTTGTTTTAAAATGTTTTATCACAGGTTCAGCATTGGGATTTAGTACTGAGTTGGGGCAAGTTGCAGAAGAATTTGGCAGATGGCCTTTTAAACACCAGGACTCTGATCCTAGGAACGAGCTCTATGGGATCAGAGAACTGGTAGATAAAGAACACAGTGAGAGAAACAGGGAGAGATCCTTTGTGAAGCTGCCAGTCATAGGCTGAAAAGAATAAGGGGCTGCAGCAGCAGATCATGAGATGGAAAACTGTTGAACTGGGCATCTAGAACCAAACAATAGTGGTATTATGTGGGCAAAAATTACAATAATTTAAAAGTGACTTTGCTGTATGCCCTTCTGAGGGATTATATGACACGGGGTAGGATTTTGTGAGCCCACTGGTGCTCATCAAGGACTTTGGACTTGAACTCCCTTTAGCTCTGGCTAGCATAGACCCTATGTAGGATACGTGGAATCCAAAGTGTCTCTTGGGCATTACTGGCATATAGGCCTTATTGTGACAAATAGGAAGTTAGGACTATTTTAGCTAAAACACACACACAAAATGTTAGATTTTTGCTGGTGGAAAGGAATTCATTGACAAATCAGCGAAGGAACTTTATCAGTCAGTAAACAGGAAAGTTGAAAGAAAGATAATTGTCACTAGCTCACCTGGAAATTCTTGTCTCCTGTTTGAGCAGGGGGTTGGACTAGAAGACCTCCAAGGTCCCTTCCAATTCTGTTATTCTCATATTTAGTTATTCCTGAAGTAGATTTACATAATTAAACAAACAACTATGCATGTGGCTTGGAATGACATGCAATATTCTTATTCTTACTTTTAGGACTGCCTGGGTGAAACATTGCAAAGGAAAAGAACTGTCAGAATGGACTCGTGACTGCCAGCTGTGAAATTGATGATCCTGCATTTCTCTTCCTCCTCCTGTGATGAGAATGATACTTCTTGGGTGCATCAAGGTTGTTTAAATGAGTGCAAGTTTATTCCATTCTACCTCTATCCAAGAAGCTGAACTACTAACAGTGAGGGCAAATTAGTGGGAGATAAGAGTCAACTGAATTCAATGAGGGCTGGATTTAGGGGCTGCAAAGGGACTCAGTTTGAAGATATGTTTGACCTCTCCTTTGGCCTCAGCCTGGTCATCTCTTGCAATATGATCCAAAAATAAAAAATTAGCTGCGCCTCTTCCCCACCTTTCCCTCTCTCTTTCTATGTGTGTTTTTTCAGGAGGGCAATGTGGCAATAAAACCAAGATATAAAATACAGTTCATAGGGTTAATTCAATATATTGCATTTCTTCACAAACTTCATCAGTCAAAAGAAATATATACTGAGACTAGAGGTGCATTGAAACAAACAAACAAACAAACAAACAGAATATTCAAAGAAACTTTAGGTGTCACTTGTCCAGTAGGCATTTCCAGAAAAAGAAACTCCTGGGACATGATTTTACCAAGAGTATAACACTTTACTGAAAAATCCACATTGGCACAGAAGAAAGCGAAACCAGCTCTAGGGTTGCTGCTCGGAAATGTGATTAGTTAAATGATAGACTCCCCCACCCCAACCCACCAGGTGTTTTCCAATAGTAATAATTTTTCTTGGTATGGAAAGAGTCCGTTTCTCCTTCAAGACCTGGCCTTGGGCTCCCGGTTGCTCAGCTACCATACCTTCTCCTGCATACCATTGTCGCAGCAATGAAGGCATTAGTGCTCACCCTCCTCTTCATCCTCGTTGCAGCCAATGAAGCCAAAGTATACTCCAAATGTGAACTGGCTTCACGTCTGAAACAAAGTGGTATGGATGGATATTATGGCTTCAGCTTGGGCGACTGTGAGTTTGCTTTCTCTGTTTTTCTCCACCTGAGCAAGTTCAAGGTTTGCAAGGGGGGTCAAAAATGGGGCAGATCGAATCAAAAATGTGTTCATCCAGCCCATCCAATGAATTATAAGATTCTCCTCTTAACCTCACAAGTTTCCCTGCGCTGCTCAGGAATTTTAAAGAGCCAAAGAAACTCCTGAGTCGATGTTTCAGCAAGCAAACGACTTTTATTTTGATCAAAACAGAGTCGGGTGTCCTCCTCCCCTTTCATGGCTGCTTAAAGGGATGAAGGCACACCCAGAAAAGATTTCTTCCACTTTTTAATACCCTTTCAGGACAAAGAGGCTCAAATCTCGGTACCAGGAGCAAAAAAGTACAGAAAAACAAATTCCAAGGTGGTGACTCATACACATCAATCCAAGCTAGCTCACTTTCCCCCCTCCCTATTTCCTGGACCATTGAATTTCATCTTGCTCCTTTCCTGTAAGCAATCACCTGTATATAGAGCATGAGACATTTGCATCGCTACTGATATCATTACAAAGTGGTTAGGAAAAAAACACTATTAATATCAAGCTTAAGCATTATAAAATCCCTTCAGAATAAAAAATCTTTTCAATTTTCTTAGAATGGTAAAATATGTTTTTGTCCCATCCCAAATGACTGAGGAAGCCTCACACTTCACCCTGCACTAATACCCTTATTTTTATGAGAATGAACAATATCCACTTCATTCCCTTTTTGGCACAACAGCAAAACTGGAGTGTGCTTAGACCACATGTTCTCTGTATTTTAACAATCAGTGCCTTAGCCAAGATTTTCCACAGGTGTGGCAATACAAAATATTCACAATGGAAATGTACCTCATCCTTGGACAGCCTGGATAAGGAAAAGAGGAGAGGCGGCTTTATGTGCCATTAACAACCCCAGGGATCTCTTGAAGACAACAATCAGACTTATTCCAAATTCTCCTGAAGGTGATTGGACTTCTTGGGAAAAGAATGGGAAGATAGTTAAATATTCTGTTTTAAAGGTTCTGTGTGAGAAACCAGGACAGCTTTTTCATTTACAGAAGAGACCTTTTGTAGCCCTTTCCCCACTTGCATTCTTCCAGGAAGCATTTATCCTGTTTGTGTATGAGGTGGAAGAGAGAAGCTTTTAAAATTCTTATTATTATGTTCTATGACAATGAATTAGCATAGATTCCCATAATCCTTGTAGTCTTTGTTTTCTGGCCTGATATACTACCAAGGCCTGTCTCCACCTCTTTAAAGGTGGAGACAGTGGAGCTGTCCCCCTGTGGCTTTTTAGCCATGGCGCTCCTAATTAAGAGAGGACGCAGCAAATTGCTAGTGTTTAACGTCTACCTTCCTCCGACGGTGAGGCAAGCCGACATTAAGGCTCAATGGGATGAACTGGAGAACTATATTACTTGTATTGAAACTAAATTTCCAGGGCTATACACCTTTATAGGGGGTGACTTTAATGCCCGACTGGGAGTCCAAGTTCCTCCATCGGTTGAGGCACTTTACTCCCAAGAAATCCTTCAGGCAATAGGATATCAGATTTCAGCTAGACATTCTAAGGATGAACTAACAAATTTTGCTGGTATTCAGTTAGCACTTTTAGCATCCCAACATGACAATGTAATCCTTAACAGGAGTACCCCAGGCGATCTAGTCGGTGAGTTTACTTTTAGTTCCTCACGTGGGAGTAGCATTATTGATTTTGTGCTGGTTTCTCAGTTACTAAGAAAGGCAGTCCATGCTTTCTATGTGGACTGCCGTACGGAGAGCGTTCATTACCCCCTGGTTACAATTATTGGGCTTTCCTCAAATATACACTTATCTAAAGGCCCCCAGATATTGGATCCCCATGCGGCCTTCTATATAAAGAGGATCAAATGGTCCTCTAATATCGAAAGAAAGTTCCACTCCTTTTTATCATCCCCGGAATCTCTCAGCCTTTATAATCAGGTTCTAACAAGTAGTGGCTTAGAGACAATCTTGGCCTTTGAATCACTAATTAATAGTGTTCAAAGGGAGCTAGGAGCTGATTGCAGGCCAAGGGGTCCATATCATTTAAGAAGCAATTCCTGGTTTGATAAAGAATGTCTGATGTTTAGGAACCAGATTAACCGGGCTTACTTGCTTTACCATAACTGAGGGGACAAACGCCCACCAGAGGACTATTATCGCCTGAAGCGGGAGTATAAAGGGCTAATTGTTAAGAAAAAGAGGGCTAAAGTGAGAGAGAAGTGGGATTTACTTCTCTTCTCTATCCAGCAGAAGAACACCCGACTATTTTGGCAAATTGTTGCCAACTCTCTCCCTGGTTATCAAGAACTCCCTCTCTGCTGTATTTCTAACAGAGATTGGGAAAATCATTTTTTTTGTCAATTTTTCAGGCTTCAATAATTTTGACCGAGCTTGGATCACAACTGCCTCTTAAAATTCCTATACGGCAACCCGTGACTCATGCTGAAATCGCTGAGCTTATCTCAGAACTTAAGTCAGGCAAAGCACCTGGCCCCGATGCTATACCCCCCCCCCCATTTTGCTAAAATCTAATCCCGAGTGGTGGATTCCTCTTTTGGCAACTCTTTTCCCCCATATTAATTCCTCTGGTAGGATTCCTATTTCTTGGCGTCTAGCAATTATTATTCCAGTTTTTAAACGAGGAAACAGGAACAACCCTGCCAATTATCACCCTATAAGCCTGCTTTCCATCATTGGAAAATTGTATGCTAAATATCTTCAATGTAGACTCCTCATTTGGGTTGAGGAGTCTAACATTATTGGTGCAGAGCAGATTGGGTTTAAAGCGGGCTGTGCCACATTGGACCACTGTTTTGTCCTAGCACACCTGGTTGACAAATACGCTATTACACCAGGTGGCAAACTCTTTACTGCTTTTATTGATTTAAAGGCAGCGTTTGACTCAGTCCCTAGGGAACTGTTGTGGTCAAAATTGCACAAAAGTTCTATTGACAAATGTCTTTTGTTCTTAATTAGATCTTTGTATAATCAGACCTCTAGCCAGGTTAGGTGTGGCTTGCAGGGAGAACTTTCATATCCTATCCCGATTGAGAGCGGAGTTAGGCAGGGTTGTGTCCTGGCCCCTCTTCTGTTTAATTTATTCTTATCTGACCTGGCCTCTTACATTGAATGCATTGAGTCTCATGCCCCAAAGTTGTTAAATACGAAGATTCCGCTTCTTCTTTATGCTGACGATGCGGTCCTTCTATCACAATCAAGGCTCGGTCTAAAAAGATTACTTTCTGCATTTGGGTCCTACTGTGCTGAGAATCATCTATCAATTATGACAAATCTAAAGTATTGGTGTTCTCTAGAGCCGAGAAATCTTACAACTGGGCTATCAATGGTAATGTTGTTAGGCAGGTTTTCCATTTTAAGTATTTAGGTATTCAATTTCAGAATACTGATGCTTGGACTAAACATCGAACCCAGGTGCTGAATTCGGCCTCCTGTAGCCATCAGCAGATTATAAGATTCTTTTTTACTCAAGGAGGCCAGTTTATTCCTTCTGCTCTGTGTATATATAAAGCCAAAACCCTGGCCCAAACTCTTTATGGAATTCCCATATGGATGCGAGGCTTCAAGGATTGTATTGAAAGAACTCAGGCTGTTTTTCTTAGGAAACTTCTGGGTCTTCCTCCGTGTGTTGGATTTGCTTCGATGTACCTGGAACTCGGCATTCATTCAGTCGAATGCATGGCGTGGATTAACACCTTCAAATGGTGGTTTTGGGTGCTCTTTTTGGCAGTCTCTGGTAGCTACCTCTCCCTGGTGTTTGCTGACTCTCATACCTCTCATTGGGAGAGGGAGCTGATGAAGAAACTCCACTTGCTAGGTTTTACGGGGAATGCTCTGGGAGATTATGGTCTCAAGGACACCCAGTTTAGGGTAGTCCAACGGCTTGTGGACATAGATTTGCAATATTTATAGCCAGAACCAACAAAACCTGCTCCCCTTTGATCTTCAGCCAATCTAATAATTATGGATTGAGGATGGCTTCATATTTCTATACTCTAACCATCCCCAAGTATAGAAGAGTCTTTTCCCTAGCCCGTTTCAATGTCTTG